CTTTGGAATATTATTAATCTAAATGTGGGCGCGGTTACCCTAATGTCGCGCATTGTGATACCGCAAATGAAAAAACAGGGAAAAGGTGCTATAGTGAATATAGCTTCAAGCGCACATTGGATACCCACGCCTTTATTAGCTGTGTATGCCGCCACGAAACGTTATGTAAGATCGTTAAGCTTAGCGATGGAACGCGAATTGTTTAAGTATAATATAACTGTACAATGCGTGGAACCATGGTTCGTTCGAACGGAACTTACTCAGTTCTCAGAAACGCTTTCACGTGGTACATTCTTTGGAACCCCAGTGGAAGCGTTCACACGCTCGGCTGTTTTCACATTGGGGAAAACACAGGAGACGACCGGCTACTGGGCGCACGGTATAATGGTAAAATTGCAATTTGTTTTTTACATAATAATTTATAAACTAAAAAAAGATCAATTTCAGAGTTTCTTTCTGAAATTAGCACCAGAATGGTTGCGCATCAGGATCAGTCATGCTTTTAGCAATCATATTAGAAAAGAATGGCTAAACAACCAGGTTAAAGAAAAGGAAAAATAAGTTTTTTGTAATATTTTGCATTTTACATAAACTATTAAACAATACAAGAAGTTCATGCTTCTATTTAGACATGTAATTATAATAACTGCGCTAGATAGGCGCAACGTGGTAGGCATTTTCTCTGCAAGTTATATTGCCATACATTGGTTGAACAGGTTCTTCTAATTTGTTTGCGGATATAATAAAGACTTGATGTCGGTTTCTCTCCTGAATTCTTTTACATTTTGTTTTGTGTGTAATACTCTTTTTTGGAACTTATAGAGATAAACAATTACTAGATAGTAACCAATGGCACTAATCCAGTTCTTCTGTCTAGTAAGAATATAAGACCAGACATTATATTTTGATAATCTCTAGTTCACTTTGACAATCTTTCTAGTTTCAGTGGCGAAATACATCATATCGAAGCTGTGGATTCTCAGAATGTCGCCCTTGCTTTAGCGACGTCCTTCTAAAAAGGCCTTTCTTTTAAATTTCATAATATAGTTTTATATAATATATTTCATCATTTCATATTGCGTCTGTGCTTGACGGTGATGGGCTACAATCTGATTTAACGCCTGTAAATGATTGCCGAGCCACCGACAGTGTTATGTAATTTAAGCAAATGCCAAAAAATTGTTCTCTTGGGTGTCTTCATTGTTTAATAATTATTCTATTAGTACGTAAGTGTATTGCTTGAAACATTTGGATGTGTTGTTCGATCCCACACTCACATTCAACCTTTGCATTGAGTTATCCGTGAACAAGGGTAAATCGGTTTTAGGTGTTATGGAGAGATGAGCTAAAGAATATAATGAACATCTTTACATTGCGTTTGTTCGTCCAATTGTGGAATATTGCACCGTTATCGCGGGGCTATTTATTATCAAAGTCACATCGATATGAATAGACTCTGTTCAGAGATATTTTTATTCTCTTTGCTTTCCGCGATCTGCGATGGGATCCCTTTAGAATGCTTCCGCCGTCTGAAAGCAATATTAACCTGTGGGAATGATTGGGTTGGTTTTTATGATTAAATTGATTCTGGGCTGCGTTTCCTCTTCTTATCTATTGAACTTCAACTGTCAACCTCAACATTCCGAATCGCTTTTCGCGACACTATATTCCCTTGGGACTCTCGCAACGCCGCACTAAGTGTCTGTTATTTAGTCTGTTTAGCTTGACATGTAGGCTTTATAACAGAATTTATTACCACTTTGATCAGTTTGCTGAAAAAGCTACACTGTTATTAAAATGCGTACAGATGTGTAACAAGGGTTTTACGTAGGTTCCTGCCTTGGCCGCTTAACCCTACGGCGCCGATCGCACACAAGTTATTTACGCGTAATCTGCGCTTTCCAGAGGGTTAGATAATCCTCCTAAGCTAAACAACCCTGGAGTCCAGATTTGTTTATTGCGTACGGCTCAATAAACCCATTCTGGTCAGTGTTGAAGCCTATCTGCTTTGGATTAATGAAAAACACGAAACTCCCCGAAGGGCCATACCCAAGCAGTCAGTGCTCACACATTGATTAACCGCTGCCTTCGGACTACCCTTCATCAAGATATTTTAGCATCGGGCGTTACATCTGACATGGCGGGCGTTACCATGCAGTCACTAATTACTGTATCAATAAATTTTTATGTAACCACTTAACAGCTGGCTTTGGTTACAATTTTCTCTATAGTAATTAGCTTTATGAGATTATTGAAGATTGTAATATACATAGTAAGTTGCTCTCGTCACGCCAGATAATATAATTACGCGGCTACTTAAGCAATTAAATACGCGCTAAAAGCGTTCAATTATTTTCTTCTGCTGGTATTAGTGTTATTTTGTATTTTGCTTCTTGTAATAGCTTTAGCTTAAAGTTTAAGTTTTCCTCTATTTCGAAGTTTCTTCCAATTATTGCTTGGGATTTGATCTTGTAGCTAAGTTGAAATAAATAAACAAATAAATCAGTCAAGTAAAGCGAGCTATTTTCTGACACGTTTTCTCTATCTTACCTTACATGGAACACTCCGCATAAGGAGACAAGAGAGATAGATGCAAAATGTGAACTAAAGAAATTGAAAAAAAGGAAAAATTAACTTGTGGTTACCACAATCAAACAACCATTGGTGTGTCTGTCGACTTGCTCATAGACCGAACAGACATCAGGCCGTTTTGAATATCATAAGGTGCTATGTTTTTGCCGGTAGTGGATAAAATGAAGAGTGTCCCAAAATTTAAATTAGCTCAATATAAAAGTCATGTCTTCTTTCCATGCTTTTCCCGATATATCGAATTTAGCAAATATACGTACAAAACAGCATCGACCTCGATGCTGGTAAGCTACACTAGCAGATCGCTCATGAATGGCTAATGGAAATCGTTCTCTTGGCGTAACTAGGCGCAGACACTACATTAATTATTTCGTTGACACAAATGCCAGTAGAGAACATTTTCAATTCAGTCAGCCAGTGGGCGAAAGGTGTTAGTTATTAGAATAAACACTAGATTTAAGTAAGCCGTGATTGGCCAAAAGCTATGACGTTCTCCTCATTCAGGTAAGGATTGAATAAAAGTTTTCTTTGTATTTTCTTTGTTGCTTTCAAGTTAGAAATGTTTGTTAACATCATTTTATTTCTACAGTGAGAAGTAACTAACGTCTATGCGTTCAAGTGACAGGTACCTGAAAACCTATAATTAAAAAAAACAGTGCAAACAAAATGAATTCATTAAAGCGCATCCACGATGTTAGTTGTTTCGAACGTGAATTCCTAGCAAAATAAAATTTAAGTTGTCTCAGTTCGTATAACTTCAAAGAAATATTCACTTCACTCATAAAATCTTCGTAACAAAGCTTTAGCTCCTCGGGATGGGTTATAAAGTATTAGGTGCTTGCATCTGTCCTGATCAGCGTCATCTATTAGTGAAAATGAATAAAATAATATAATCAATCTTCATTTATTATTATTAAGTTATTTAGTGCATACAGACGCTAATCCTAGAACCCACAAAATTGCATTTTCGACCTTTATTACCTTTGTTGTTTGATTTGAAAAAATCCGCTGCCGAAGCCCGTTCAACATTTATCATACTTGGATATTTTGTTCAATTGAAATAAACTAAAATTATTTATTTCGCCTTCATATATCATAAACATTTACACGTTCATCAGCTAAAACATACTAACACATGAATTGATCGGATTGTCCTCTCATTTGACTCTTTACACATGTCTGCATTATTTCTTTTACTTCCAATAGACTTTCGTTAAATTATTTATTGTTTTATTCCCTCATAATATATTCTGTGATTCACCCCTCGAGCGGTCATATTATTATTCTATATTCTTTTATCATGACGAAGAATAAAGCGGATTGCGGATGGAAGCAATGTGCAGGACAACGGCAAGCAAAAAGATTCATAAGATCTTCCGGTAGGGCGCACAAACTGCTGGACCTAAGAAGAAGCGACTTAGATTTAGTCATTGGCTTCTACACGGATCATAATTCTCTCAGGTACTACTTGAAAAACATGGGTATGTTTGATAACGATTCATGCATATTCTGCCAAGGGGCGAGTGAAACATCCCATCGTATTTTATGTGAATGTGAGGCAGAATCTGCAGAATCAGACACCAAGTGTTTGACGAGCATTTTACTAGGCGGAGCAGGGTATGGTGCTCCGTTCCAAAGAAGGTGGCGGGAGTCATCAAAATCCTAAAACTGGAAGGCTAGGAGCATGAGCGTGTACAATAGATCTTTTAGGTTGCGGCATGTCTTGGCCGCGTAATTAACAATAATAATTATCGCGATCGTTTCAGACCTAAATAAGAACACGCTTCAAAGAAAGGGGTTGAGGATCGACTGAATTACTTTCTGAATTTCATAACTTTGGAATGAGCAACATCCCTGTCTACATAGTTTAGCCCGTCTAAGTGTTAATTCTGTTCTACTTTAAGGTAAACTGAGACTAATTCTAAACGATTGGATTAAAAACGAAACATTTGAGGAAAATGCAGAACTATTCTGATCCCAAATATAGATCAGGTTTAGGTAAACTTATGCCACGTGTTTCGATCCTAAATGGGGAATAATTTTGATCCTCAAAACTTTTACGACACTTGAGAAAATTGGTTTGGGAATCTTTTTACTAATGCCCATCTTTCCATTTCTTTAGGCTTTTAAGTCAGTTGTAGGAAATTTAAACTAAATATATTTATGTTGGTTGAAACTGTAAAGCTGTCAATAATATAAAAATTTGAAATTGCAAAGACAAAGGAAGAATTTTTAACAAGTATTTATTTCTGCGATAAGTGCTGTTATTGCTGTAATCATGAGCACACTAAGTGCATGAATGTGAGTTATATGAAAGGCAGACACATACGCTCATATACATGCATAATCACGCGCATAATCTGTAATATGAAACGATTTCAAGCAAAATTCATAAATTAGGCGGAACCCCAAAGAACGTACAGAGAACACTTACACATTTCTATATACGTCGTAGTTCAACATGCTGAAGAGGAAAGCAACCCGTATACTTTACGTTTGTCAGCCGCTTTTCAGCTTAGATTGTGAGAGAAAAGCAAAAAAAAAAAAAACATAAAACATAAAAGGGATCTACGGTGTGATGCTGTGAATTGAACTTTACATGACTTTTTGTAAAGTGTACATGTGTGCAAAAACACATACAAACAATGTTAACTATGGTGCAACAGAATCTTTTTTTGTTCTTTTTCTATTAAAAATTTACTTGAAAATACTAAAATATATATTTTTCTAATATTTTTATCTGTGACTGGAAGATTTGTGTGAATTATATTTGCTTAGTAGCAGCAAAGGAAGCGGGAGGATTGAAGTAGCGAAACCGCATTATTTAAGTGTCAAATAAATTCATACAGCTTCGTATATATATATATATATGTGCTTTGGTTAAACGTTAAACCGCATGATTTTCAATTTTTGTAAAAGCCATAAAAAGCACAGAAACAGAACCGATTAGCGACGTGTGGCAGGCAAAAAAGCAAACTCGTCTCCACATACTACAGCAGACAAGAGATTTTACAAGGGCACACGCTCGCATTGCT